TAGGCTTTATTTTGAGCTCACTTTTGGGGCTTGTTTCCTTTACTTTCGTAATGGGCTGCACTTGTATTGTGTTGTGGATTATCTTCGGATTAGCCTCACTTTGTATTAGTATGTTTTATTTTTAATGGAATTAGTTGCTTGAGCAAAATAAAAAATTTGTTACTAGTTCGATTTGTGCGTATTTGACTTTTTTTTTACCACAATATTACAACACTAGACTATTAATTGTTTAAATTTAAATACAGTTTTTTTTTTTTTTTTTTTTTTTTTTTTTTTTTTTACATATTGTAAAAGTTGAATGTGAACGTCATGAAAAATGGCACGGGGGTACAAAAGAATGGGCCTTACCATGTCAGAAGAGTAACCACATATTCCTGTGTGAGAGTTTTGGCTTGGTTCTTGTCTGGATAATTTTGAGAAAAGATTGTTGTTCCCCCAGGTTTTGTTTCTGGAAACAAGCTCAAGTAGTCGGTATTAGATCATCAGTTGTAGTAGTGTAATAAAAAAGGAACGACACTGTACAAAAGTGCAGAAGTCGGATGAGAAAACTTTGCTGTATATATTATTTGTAGATATATTGAAAATTAAATTAAATGAAAGTCTTAAACAATGTGATTGTCATGGAACTGTATTTGTGAAACATTAAAGAAATTGTATTTAGTAATTTTGCTGATGGTGAATAAAACTTCGGCATGGACTCTCTTGCCATGTAACCAGTTACATGTATCATTTTTATAAAACCTAATGCGGGTCAAGAAGCGCACACATCAACAACCGTACATTGAACAAACACTTGAAAAAAAAAGATAAAATGCAATAACTCTTGCCGCTCGAAGAGCAATATTTAGTATTAATATTAAGAAAAGTCCCCTAAACCTTAAATTACATAGCTTATATAGAGAAAATAACCTAGAGCCTTAGCAAGGAATAAAAACACATAAGGAAAATACTTGAGAGTTCTTGAACTTCTTATGTCTAATAGGTAATTATAAAAAATAAAGTAGATAACCTAATATATTACAATTAAAAAATGACAGCAATTAACTGAACGATACCTATCACTCAATTTGTCACGTGATAGAGAAGTCTCCAAGAATTTTTTCTCTGTCTTCTGGGTTTATTAGCATCTCCTCTCCGGAGACTTAAAAGAGCGTGTATATTTGACTTGTAGATTTTGACACACAATTAAGCATGCATATACATATATTGTAGGGTTGATATGAATTCAACCTAATTTTCGTAGATTTGGGGCTACTGTGCTGTTTTCTTGATGACAGGAGATCGAGGACCATAGACTCTGCCCAAAATATAACAATTGCCATCGTTTCATAGCAGATAATAGGTTAATTTTTTGGGAGACTTTGGATGCGGTCCCTAGTTATGAACAGTCTTTGATTGAAACCTTATTGGTTTTCAATTTTTGATCCAAGTCCCTGAAATTAATTGATAATTTATTTCTATGTACATTACTATATTTTTTAAATTAAAAATTAAAATTTATAGTTGTTTATAGTAATGAGATTTTAAATAAAAAACCATAATTTGTGGGATTAAAAATATTAAAATATAAATATACTATTGCGTGTGTGTGTGTAAACATGGGTACATTTATAAAAATAACCAAAAAATTATTGTATCAAAACATGGGTACATTCTTCAAAATGGGTACATTTAGCAAAAATAAAAATGGGTACAAATAAATAAAAAAATATGGGTACAATACAAATAAAACTTTAAAAAATATGGGCACAAAAAGAAATTAATATATGGGCACAAATTAAAACTGAAAGGAAAATTGGTACAAATTAAAAAAGGGTTGCAAATTAAAAATGGGTACAAACTAAAAATAAAAATATATGATAAAAAATTTAGCCATAAATATAAATATACTAATTGTAACATTTTTAATATTAAATGAATATATTTAGAAATAAAAAATATTTTATTATTGAAATAATTAATGATATTATTAATACAAAGGACCTTGATCAAAAATTGAAAAGTAATAAGGTTTTAATCAATAGAGTAGTAAAAATAAGGATGAAAACCTAATTACTCCTAATTTTTTTTAGGGCATCAGTTTTTGGTAATATAGGACCAGCAATGTTTCACCAAAGACTGAATGGTTATGAATCTTGGAAATAAATAGCTTCATAGATAAAAAGAAAAAGTATATATATTTTGTTGGTTGACATTTTCTTTTCATTGCGTGACTTGGAAGCATATTTATCGAAAAACAAACTTTGTGATTGATGTTGTGACTAATATAGGATTATCCTTTCCTAACATGTTTACTCAGGATCAGACCCTTTCTTCACAGGCTACACCTGCTCTTTTGTTTTAATGTAACAGTATCGGTTATTTGCGAGGTTTTTCGCTTTAACTGAATTTTTTTTTTTTTTGAGAAAAAAAGTATATATTTATAAAAGTGAATTTCCTTTGAAGGCATGCATTGTGCATGTACACTACATAGTAGGTACAAACCAAACAGGAAAAAATATGAACTCACACTTGGTTTTATATCTATAGAAAATACTTGGCATGGTACCACATGTTGACTTAGTACTTCTCTGGTTATATTGAAATGAAATCAAACTATTAACCTTGAATGAAATCAAACTATTAACCTAGCATAACCTAAAGAGCATTTCCGGCAAACTAGTCGACCCACATATGAAGTCATTAGGCTAAAACTTTCTCTACAAAAGACCCTAATTGCTAATCACTCTTAGCTGCTAGGGGCGAGAAAATGACTTGGTCAAATATTAATTCTCTCTTTATCTTCAAAGTCTAGGTACAATGATACGTCAAACTGTAAGAGCTTAATGTGAAATTTAACGGTTACAAAAATCCGTTTAATCTTTATTCAAGATTTAACCTTTGGATTTTTTACTGCTCAATGGTATATACCAAGAGAGAGAGAGTACGTATTTTTACCAATTGCGAAGGGGACAAGGATTGTCTGCCCTCCTTATTTTCGTGCCCTCACATGCCCTACTGTTTGTGTGGTCATGGTTAAGCCACGTCAACATTTTATATTACTATTCATTTTTATCTTATTATCTCTATAAAAAAACAATATAAAATGTTGACATGACTTAACCGTGACCACACAAAATAGGAGGGCACGGGAACAAAGAGGGCAGACAATCCTTGTCCTTGCGAAGATGCAATATGTCAAGCAAACCTTACATGACAAGATATCGAATTTGGACACATCCTAGCATGCAAGAGGATCAACAAACAAAGAAGTACGAGTTTGAGGAAAATAAATCAAATTAGGACCGCATAGAAAATTCAGGAACGAAATCTAATTAAAGGTCAGTCATAATCTTCTCCGGGAATAAATCCCATGACCTCACACTTGGTCGACCGTTTTTCAAAAGTAGAATACTAGATACCAGTAGAAGTTAAAGATAAACCAAAAGATCGTGGGTTTGAATAGTGAAAATAATCTTTTTGTAAAACAAAAATAAGGCTGCGTATAATAGAACGTTTTTCTTTCCTCCAAACACTTGCAAAGCGAGAAACCTTATTAACTTGGGATCACCTTTTTTTAATACTAGAAGTCTAGAAGACGTTCTAAGTTCAAATTTCTCTCTCCTAATAACTTGTTGAAGAAAAAGTCTTGGTTAAAATTTTCTTTCTCGTATTTTAAGAGTTCATTTTATAGGATTCACTTCAAAGTTAAAACATGATATGGGGCAGTAAATACATGACGATTTAACAAACAATTACAGCATGCTACCTCTAATTATTAAACATCAGTGATTTTTCCTCCATACCTCTCATCACCACAACTCATTACCAACTCCAAATTGGGTCCCTAAGTATAGTTTCATGAAGAAGATCTTAATCAAATAATTTTGGAATGTAATTAATTATAAGTGCATGGCTTTATTTTACATGTGACCATCATTACAATTTTTGAAAGTGTGATTTGGTGAAGACATGGAGTTAATTAGCAAAAAATTTCAGAGTACAATGTATGACATACGCTGATGAATTCAAAGAATAGATATGTGCTTAAGAATTCAAATGGATATAAAGGATAGACGCAAACCACTTAAAAGACAATGTGCGTGTATATATTATGCAGTGATGTATAGTAGGACTCGGGAGTTAGAACTAACATGATCAAACTCTTATTCATCATCAAACCTACCAAGTATGTGGTCCAATATCCTAATGAATGAGATGTTGGATTTTTATTCATGCGTCCCGACATTAAAACTTTCATTTCTCTAAATTATTGTAATAATTTCAAATATTTTCACTCCTTTAATAATAATAATAACCTACAAAAAATGTGCAAAACCCGAGATTCCCGGCTAAGGGACTGTTTGGATTTCGCATAAGTCTACAGCCTTCACATATCCAAAATTAGCAAAACACATCCATCAAGGAACTTTCCTAAAGTAGCTACCTTACTTAACCCATCTTCAATAATTCCACATTATAGATACAAGCAATTTCCAAACAAGAAACAACCCATACCTAAAACACATCAGTCTGTGTTACCATGAATTAGATAGCCAGGCAAGGACTACTCATACCTACAAGTGAAGACAAGCATCCTCATGCATATGGACATGGGATTCTCACTTCACCTTCATCTTATAATGCAAAGTGGCATATTTGGCACTTGCTGCCTACTGGCTGCAAAGGGTAGGACTGAATTCCTTCCAAACGAGAGAACTTATTTACATCGAAATACTAATTGTGAACATAGCTCATATCATGAGTTTTAACTTTTTAACATGCTATTGGTTTGGGTCACCGTCATGATGGCATTCACATTACATAAATTCCTCAAAACTCCATTTCATAGGTACCACACCTAGAAGTTCATTTGGAAGAAAGAATACCTGATCTAGACCCAACTGTTATCCAACTATAGGTGAGGAATTTATATTTCTGTAGTTTGATCACAAGTGTTTCTCGTTAATATTATCAATTGTCTGGACTAAGCTAAATAAGATTTATTTTATGGCAAGAACTAAATGAAAAGGGCATCAATACATTAACAAACTAGCCATTTATTTATAGAAAACATATGGAAGCATAATTACAATATTAATCAATTTGCACAGAAATTTTACAACATGTCACTTGGCTATTGAAGTGGTCGACAGCTTCATTAGTACAAAGCAGTCCTTGCTTGTAGCTTCACAACTATTCCCCCACCATATCAGGGTAAACTTTCATTTCTTGGATCTCCAGATTGCGAAATAAAATTTCCACTCCTCTCTTACTTTTACTGCTGATAAGAAATGTAGAAAGTAACTGGTGTAATTTACCCTTCGCATTGCTTGTGGTTCTTGTATAACAAACAGCAGCTAATGGCTTCTACAACTTCTTTGAAACATCACAAGGCGCTTGAAACCCAATGGTTTCAACATCTCCCACCGTCTTAAACAAGCGCCTCCTATTCACCTCTTCAACCACAGACCGGTGTAGTAGTTGGCTTCTTATGTCTACTAGTGACCTATTCCTCATCAATTTACGGCTGTCCATGATCCTTTTATCTTTCGAACCAGATGCTAGTAAAGCTTTGCATCTCTCAAAGTATTTTTTCGCTATGTACTGCCCAGCATGGCTGGTTTCTTCGGGACAAAACCTTGTTGATTTGTGACATTTTGATATGGGATGTTTGTCTCCTCCTGTGGGGATCATCTTAGTGCCGTGCTCATTGCCAGAAATGAAACTTAAGTTGGAATATGTTCCTGAGTGCGAAGAGCTTTGTGAGCTGGTCTCATCAAGCAAATCATCTGCAACGGCAATCCATTTGAAATTAAAATGTAAGACTCAAAATCTCAAGATGAGGCTTGGCTTAATCCCTATGTCAGTAATTTTAGCAGGAAAATGCATCCCTAAAGGCGTTACCTAGGAATCCGAGATGATAATCAACATATTATCATGTGATTTTATGTTCTCGTCAGGTCCGTAAAGTTTCTTGACATATCTATAGGGACTTGGGATGAAGTCCATTCTTCACCAAGGATGTGGTATAAGAAATGGAACAGGGCTACAACTAGTCCCATTGATCCCTAATGGACTATAAAAAAAAGGAATGGAAAAACAAAAGAGCATTCATTTCATAGGCAATGGCCTTCCAGGAAAGACAAGCATATAGAAAAGACGGCCCTATTCATGCCCATGGACTTTTAATTCAAGCAGTAAAGGGCCAAAAATAATAGTGGGTAGTAACAGCGCTGATTAACTTAGTGAGTTCTATGAGCCATACCTTGGAACCAATCGCAGGCATTTTTCATTCCGTTAATCCCATGAGAACTGATCAAGCCTGACAATGATGAGTGGGATGATGAGGAATAAGAGTGAGAAGGGTGGTGAGGTCCATCGTCGTCATCATCTTGATAATTAAATGTGTGGTAGGCTTCAGGTTTCCAATCTGGTGCCAGAGCAGATATCTCCCCTTCAATCATATTAGCAATTTCAAATGGTTCCCAATCAGTGATCTCCAATTCCTTGACCATTTCCGTCGCAACATCAAATGGTGTATCATTCAATATATCAAAAGGAAAATATATATTCCTAAGAGAACCTGCATGAGAAAAAGTTGAAGAAATGTTCACCATTTGAATCTCTTGAGTTCACTTTAACTACAACAACAACCAGAGGTTGTTAAATAGTACCGTCTTTATCAGCAATCTGAACTTTAAGAAAAATGGTATCATCTTCAGAATTTAGCTTCCCCGTGATTGTCATGTCAGTCCTGGTACGATGATCGCTCAATCGCAGCTTCTCCATTTCTTTGTCGTTTAAAAATGGCTTCGGGTGTCCAAGCTTTCCCAAAGGCAATGATTCATCTTTGCCACACTCGAGAAATGGATCAAGCAATAATTCTTTAGCCGATAATCTCTTTGATGCATTTACCAAGCATTTCCCTACGAATCTCTGTGCTTCCAAGTCTTCAATCCGGTAGAATGCTCCTGGAAGCTTCCCCTGAGGAAATACAGTGGCAACAGGTAAGGTTCTGTTCACTAACACCTATTAATCTTGACTTTGAAACTTCACCTTACCGCTGTCACTTTCTTGTAGATTTGTGCAGGGTTGACACACTCACTATATGGGTATTCAGATGTAAGCATCTCTAAAACACACATGCCAAATGAGTAGACATCGACTAGTTCGTTGTAATCTTCCTCATATAGTTCTGGTGCCATGAACTCCGGAGTGCCTGAAAGTATAGAGAGACAAATTATCTTATAGCGGAAATTAAGTGCCAGCATTTTTGAGCTAATAATGGAGATAAACGAGTACCTATAACACTGTGAGCAGATTGGGAACCACGGAGAATTGCTGCAAGCCCTAAATCACCAATTTTGACTTGCCCAAGGTGCCCATTAACAAAGATGTTGTCACACTTAAGATCTCTATGGATCACTGGAGGATCATGTCCATGCAGATGTACAAGACCCCGAAGGATCTGGCGGGCCCAGTTCTTTATGGCTCGGATGTCTACCTGATTATATTTCTTCCTATACCTGCAATATGAAAGATAGAGAGTAGTTTATCAATACATTTAGCCAAATGCATTGAATAGGAATCCTGTTTCATGCTTAAGAATTAGTATCGAGGATAGCAGTTCAAAATCTCTTGATCAGTTGTCCTTCTCATTAACATAAATTTAATGAAGAGACCATTGTTACATTTTCTGCATTTGGGTGGTTCAAAAGATATGCAAGTTGAGGAACTAGAGTTAGCAATACTAAAGTTGGAAAGGAGATTACTGTCTTAGCGTCCCCGATGTGAACATTTCAGTAATGAAGTTAAAAGCTTTGTGCTCAATGTCAATCCAAGAGGTGTAGAACCGAATAATGGAGTCATGGTTGAGGGTGCTGAGGAGGTGAACCTCTGAGTAGAGCCGCTGCAAATCCTCTGGTGAGCGAAGAACTTCATTAAGCTTTACCTGATTCCATGCCACCTCCATCCCAAGCAACTCATCAATTGCCTTGTACACTGTTTTCATTGCTCCTTTGCCAAGCACTTCTTCAAACTATTCAACACAAAGAAAATGCTCTCATCACTTCAAAAAGCAATCGAAAAGATCATTTCCATTTATTTATTTCCATACATAAAACCCGAACAAATTAATTGACTCAATGCGCGTAATTATAAACATACGGTTAATTGCTGTTGAATGGATAATCGCTGGTCCTACATTTATCTGCTGATTTTAATCCAATGTCCACCAATATCAGGTAACAACAAATGCTCAGGAGTCCGGAACTGACTTTTAGCTAAAGAGTACTCATCGGGGCATAATTGGATTTGAAGCTCTCATTCTAATAGTATTACAAGGTTGTCCCTTCAGAGATAATATCGCATCAAGCACAAATGTTTTAAAAGACGAAGCCGAAGCTAAGGCGTTTCATGGATAGCCCCGCCTAGGCAAAAGCCCTTCGCCTCACGGGACCTAAAATTATTAATATATAGTCTAGTTGGAGGGTATGTCGTATAGTCTAGTTGAACTTAGAGGGTATGTCATATAGTCTAGTTGACCTTGAACTTGGAGGGTATATGTCATATAGTTCAACTGAACTTGCACTTACGCAGTTTTCTTTTATAAAGAAAATGCCCAGTAGAATGCCTTAGGCGTGCCTCAATCACGTCTAGGCAAGTTTAAGCCTATTCCCGCTGGGCAGAGGCGTTTTTGTCACTGCCCCGCCTCCAAAGCCATATAGGCGCGCCTCAAGGCTCCTCATTTAAAACAGAACCTCCAGCTAGATGCTTGCTTGCATAGGCCCAGAAACCTTTTGCTTTTGTTTTACTACTAAACTAATGAAGCACCAAATTAAACAATCAAATTTAATCCCCGATTTTTTAAACTCCTAACAAGCCCCATCAATCCAAGTCCAAAGAGCTCACAGAATTTAAAACCAATATTATTGAGAGAAGAATTAGCATCTTGTATTAAATTAACAATATTTCTTAACACCAACTGTCATCAAAACTAATGGCCAATAGGTTAGACTTTAATGTCATCGGGATCACCCGGATGGCTATTACTCCTGCTTAAACTAAAGTACTTAATAATGAATTAGACAGTGACTCACCCTATAAACAAGATTGACCAAATAAACTATTCCATCTTTAAAAAGGGAACTTTAACGAAAAGCTTCCGATACTGTTCACTACTATCTAAATTCTATAACCACAGAATTAATGTTATTCTACTTGTGACTGAAAGGTACGGATTTGCAAAGTAAGGGTAAGACTGCGTATAGGTAGACATCCCTTCGACCCTTACAAAGCGGGTAGCCTTGATGTCTTGGAATCACCCTTCTTTGTAACTTGTGTATAAGTACATAGACACGTACGTACGTACATACATACATGCACACAGATATACATACATATATCCATAGATACATACACATACAATATAATTTTGATTACCTACTCATGGCGAGCAAGAAATCCACGCTTACCAATTTGATCAAACTTAAATATCTGATGACCTGATACTCCAAAGTTTAAGATCATTTCCATGCTTTTTCAGATAGTTCTGAAAACCCATTTAATTAAATAACTTAAAGAAACAAAAAGTAACCAACTTTAACAAAAAAAGGAACTAAAACATCATTAATTCATGAAAAATTTAAGCAAGGCGTACACTTTGAACCACAAAAACAATCGATTCCGGCAACTGGGTAACGTTGAAATTTTCAAAAAAAATTCTAGAAAACAAATTAATGGTAACATGCAAATTACATACCCGACCATATCTCGCAGTAGGATCCATTTCAACATAGCCAGCCTTGTCTGCCTTCGACATGTTCGAGGATTCCTACTAATGACTTCCCAGTTCCCAAGACTTCGAAATCAGACGTTGTTTCTTTTGTTTGACGAACAAACCAGAGACAGAGCAGTTGATCACCAGAAACAAATAAAAGGGTAGCTAAATGTAATCTAAGAGGGTGTGGTGGGAAAATTAAAGGGTGTGGAAAATAAAAACTGGGAAATTTGGGAAATCAAATCCGAGGCTTTCCCTCGTGGTTTTCGTAAGAGAAGACACCAAACAAGAGCCAGAAGAGCCTCGAGTAATCAATCCTCAGCATAATCCAACCCACACAGTCCACACTCACTACCACGGCGCGTGACGCCCACTCGTACTTGTTGGCAACCATTCGTGATTTGGGTAAAAAAGATGTCAAATTTCAGAGGCAGATGGGGAGGAAGTTTGAAACTTTGAAAGGGAGAGTTGTGTTTGTGTGGAGAATTTTGGAGGAATAGTTGGTGCGGTTTTGGAAAAGGGCAGTCTGGGAAATTGCCAAAATTTTTAAGGAATCAGAGAGATTGTGGTGGAGTGGAAGATGGGGTACGAAACTTGAAGAATCTGCGGCTGAACTTTGTTGGTACCATTTGTGGGAAAGGGGAGAAATCAAATGGTACAAGCACCTTTGTGGGATTTTGTAGTTCTTGTGGGCAAAGCAATTGAGTTTTCAAGTGAATGGAGAGAAGTGGTAAAAGCTGTAAATATAGGAGAGATGCAAATACTGCACCATTAGTAGACTGAACAGGACGAGATGTGAGAGTTGGTGGTGGTGGCGGCAACTCCCTATAGGACTATTTGGGTTGTCTTATAAACAAGAATTTTTAATGTGTCGGAAATATAGTTAGGTTAACAAAATGTTATAATATAAGTGATTAAAAATATTTTTTAAATCTTTAACTATTTGTATTATTATATTTGGTATACCTAACCGTGTTATGTGGACACAGAAAAAAATTCTTGGTTTATTGTGTCAAATGATTTGGCTTTTTTAGCATTCTGTAGGTTGGAATTCCGTTTGGTAATGTTTAATGTGATCATCATTTTATATCATTATATAGTTGACTATGAACCTATTGACTTTTTTTTTTAAAAAGAAAAAATTCAATAATAAATAGGAGGAACGGTTTGGCTCCTAAACTAATTCAATACGTATTATAAATCATTCTATAAAAATTATATGTATAAAAATATTAATTAAAAATAAAGTTATTTAATCAACCAACTGCAATAAATAGATAGATGAGTATACTTTTATTGTACCTGATTATTTGTTTTTATACATTTCAATGACTAAATAATCTTATATTTTATTGATTTTCGAGAAATAATCTTTATTGAGTTATTTATAATATAAATAATCATAAGGGATAATAATAAATATGAAATTTTGTGAATTTGTTACAAAGCTTCTTGACGAGAACTCCTCATCCTTGGAAGAGCCATGTGTCACAAACCCTTAAGCGTATTTTTTCTTTTATACATTCAAAGCTATAGGTTTGATTCTTTTGTTCTTATATTCTCTTCTATAAAAAAACAATAAGAGAGATTTGAATTTGAAATTTCTTTCAAGATATATGCTCCCAGTATATGCCAGTGACATATGATAGTTGAGTCAAGTCCACAGACATCTGGACTAGCAACCTTTATGTGCTCAATAATATGAAGGCTTTCATTTTTTTCATCTTAAAGTTAAGTTAATGATGATGTCTATTTGAATCATATTTTGTAGATCACAAAGATCCTGACTATCAACTGACACATCATGTAGTTTACAAAATATAATTTAAAAACATAACATCTCAAGTCTTCAACCCTCTCTAGCATTTTCCTTAAGGCAAATACGTTTGTTTAGGCGCTTGTCAAAGCACTACTAAACAAACTTGATGCTGTTGGTAAATGGTAAGGATGCTTCTTACTCATTGGAATTTTCCCTTACCGATAGAACACAATCTGAAACCATAATGTTATTTTTCATGAAAACTGTGAGCTATAATTCGTAATCCGACTTTCTAAACCCTATTTTCGTATTTTCAAGGCACCATAAATTTCTTAAATAACTGTGGGAATCCACTGAGGGCGCCCACCTCACGATTCTTCCAAGTAATTAGTATTGGGTTGACAAATCTATCAACCTCTCACTTATCTTTTCATGCATTTCAACTTTTCATTGGGGTCCCTCCATTCCCACTTATTCTATTCTTATCCTCTCTTTCTCAATGATATTTCTTCTTTGTATTTGGCCCCATTCTTCTCCTCACAGCATACTTCACAGTTACCTCAATATATATATATATATATATATATATATATAAACTATATATGCTGCATGAAACCTGTGAAATTTGTCACCAAAACATTTTTATACCTTTATTTGGCTGACTATTTCAGCCACGCATGCACACGTACCATCTTGCGACTCATCTTCTGTAATTTATAGTAATTTACAAAAAACTTGTTGATACGAATTACAGGATAAATATCTGAAAACCCTAATATGAATTTGGACTAATTCAGACAGGTGAGAAGGGGAAGACATTTTGTTTGTGGGTTGTAGTGTACAAATTAACAAAGAACAAATATTATCATAATTAAATGGATAAACTTTCCATTACCATTTTTTCATTCTATTTCTAATGAAACAAGTCACGACTTGTGGGGTAAAATTTGAAGAAAAAACATTAATAAAACATGGTGAATTGTAATTATGGAGCCATTTGCTTTTGTCTGTGCAGCCGAATCCAATTATACATTAAAATAAGGGTAAATAATGACCACAAAATATAATGTTGTTAGTCCAAATTCACAACGAGTTGCATTATATTAAGTTTAACTAGCCTTCACGCACGCACTCACGCGCGTGAAGAAGACATTTTTTGAATCACGGCGTGCTACGAGCGACTTTATTTACACGTTTTAAATGTATTTATATGCGTAAATTGACAAAAGGAAAGTTAAATATTTGAAGTAAATGAATAATTTTAGATCATGCTATAATAAACCCCTCATAAACCAATTAAAGTAGCTGAATTCACATAATAAAATCAGTTTCTTTAGAATTTACATTAAGAATAGAGAAAATAATATTTAATAAACAATTGATTGAATCACATTATTGCTAGCTCATTGTGAGGCTAAGCACACCCCCTCCCCCTTAGTGTAGATAATATCGTTTATTAAAAAAAACAATAATTTGACAATTAATTTAATCACATTATTATCCGCGTGTAAAAAACCTTTTTGTTATAAAGAAAATCATATTTACTAAACAACTGATTGAATCACATTATTGCTAACCTATTGTAAGGTACTAATTTTTTTTTTTTAACTTTACTAATTTATCATTGGCACTACGCGTCTCTTAAGATGTTTTGAACACAATATTCATCATTTTTCTTATTTTTTTATTATATTTTTATTTCCCCTAGACACCATCAACTTTCACTTATCCTTTCATTTTTTTTATTCTTTTTTCTTCTCACTTATATTTATATTGTATTTTATGATGACCAAATTACCCTTACATTATTTAATATATTATATTGGGTTGCTTTTGGATTTTTTTGGTTGAGGGGTAATTTTGTCCTAATATTTTTTGTCAACTGCGTGACCCCAAAAACTTTGTCAACATGCGTGACCCCAAATTAGGGCTCTGGCTTTCTACTATATAGATTTTTATTATATTTTTCTTTCCCCTTTACGTGGGCACCATCAACTTTCACTTATCTTATCATTTTTTTATTCTTTTCTCTCTTCTCATTTATATTTATATTATATTTTATGTTGACCAAATTATCCCTATATTATTTGATATATTATATTAGATTGCTTTTGAATTTTTTTTGGTTGAGGGACAATTTTGTCCTAATCTTTTTGTCAACTGCGTGACCCCAAAAGCTTTGTCAGCATGCGTGACCTCAAATTGAGGCTCTCGCTTTCTATTATATATATAATGTAGTATTACATTTATAGGGTAAATAATAGAAAAGGTCCCTGAACTATGCTATAAGTTTAGTTTTCATCCCTCAACTCTTATATTAGTTTGTCTCATCCTCCAACTTAAGTTTGTGTTGCACGAATCATCCTTTCCGTCAAGTTTGTTACATTTTCTGTTAAATATGATCACATGCCTTGCACGTGACCTTTTTGTGGTGGGCAAATATGACATTTTGTTGGCCCAAACGAATCTCACGTGCTATAGGATGGAGAACTCAAAAGTTTTGGGGAAAAGTTCAACTGGAGATTGAGAGCTCAGTTCTAGGGTTTGAGAAATTTGAATAGGAAATTCACTATTATTGGCTAGGAATGCACTTTCATGATTAATTATTCACATGGCGACAACGTTTCGGTGGTCTGGAGAGCATCCACAATACAGTAAGTCTTTCCTTCATTGTTTAATTTTATATTTCATGAATTTCGTTTGGATTGTTTTTGTCTAAATATGTATTCTGTTATTCACTTTGGCTTTATATGTATGGTGGTACTCTGTCTTTTCGGTCAAATGCATTTATATGTTGGCCTTATTACTATCCATATTTCACCATTGCTCCAACGTCCACACCCAATATGCATATATTAGAGTTTGGTGAGGGTATTTATTGTAAGAATTTGATTTTGGTGAGTGTTCAACCTCACATTGTATATTATATATGGCAGGTGGTCTGGAGTTATGTACTCTTGAACTTAACCATTATGGGTTGGTAGAAAATGGAGTTTATAAAGGTGGCAAGGTATGTTATGTAGACAATTGTGTTGATGACTATTTGTCATTGGTGGATTTACAAAAGATTGGTGTAGAACTTGGCTATAATGTTGACATAACTCAGAGGGTTACAAGTTTAAAAGTGTACTACAAGAAACCTGGTAAGTTTGGTGCAAGTGCATTGATAGAGGTGAAAGATGATAGTTTTATTCCAGGGCTAATTGCTTGCATTCCTGGTAATAGAATTGTTCAATTGTATTATCATGATCCAACTGATCTAAACACCATTGGGAGTCAAGCTTTTGAGGTATGGCCAAGTTTGGATTCTGAAAACTATAATGGTGGCACTGATGAATTTAAGGGTCACCAATATTGGCCTTTTATTGATCGCCTAGCCAATGCTGACAATTCAGTAAAGAAGGTCAACACATATGAAGCTGCATCTGTTGGTATACATGGTAATATTCAGGAATATAATGAAAATGAAGCAGAAGAGGATAATGAAAATAATGAAAAAGAAGGTGAAAATGAAGAAGATGATGAAGTATTTGTTGACAGTGATTATGGGGTAAGTGACGATGAAGAGCCAATCAATGTTGAAGAGGTAAATGGTGTGGATGCACCAAATAAAGTGTTTGATGTTAATCATCCAAATGAAGTTCTTGATTTTCATCCTCCTAATGAAGCTACAGGGGAGATTTCATCTGATGGTGAAGACATTGATATTCCTTATTCTGGTAGTGATGAAGAGGAAGGTGAACAAAACTTTAATAAATTATCTAAGAAGAGGAAAAGGAAATTACCGAGTTTTAAACAGTGGAGGAGAGACACGGATTTGAGAAATCCAGAATTTCGATTGGGAATGCAATTCGCCAATAAAGCAGAGGTGAAAGAAGCTATAAAGGAGTGGGCTATTATCAACGGACGAGAAGTCAAATTTGTAAAAGATGATAAAATTAGGGTGAGAGCAAAGTGTGTTGGAAATAAGAAAACGAAGTGCCCGTTCACTATATTTGCTTCCATCATAGATTCATATGAGCCCACTTTTGCAATCAAGACTCTCTGCTTAGATCATCATTGTGGGAGAGTTGGTAAACTAAAGTTTGCTAATTCAAAGTGGCTAGCTGAAAAGTTTGCTGACAAGATCAAGAAAAATCCTCACTGGAATGTCGGAGCATTTAAGTCGGAGGTATTAGATCAGTATCGTATGAATGTTAGCAGGCATCAAATATACAGAGCAAAGAGGTTGTCCAAGTTGATTATTGAACGTAGCTATAAAGAACAATATGCCAGGTTATGGGACTATGCAGAACAACTAAAGGTGGCTAATAAAGGAAGCACAGTGGTTATAAGCAATAAGATGGAGGGCGATCAACCAGTTTTCCGTAGGATGTACGTGTGCTTAGAAGCTTGTAAGAAAGGTTTTTTGGAGGGGTGTAGACATGTGATTGGTGTGGATGGTTGCCACTTGAAAGGACCATACACGGGTCAAATTTTAACTGCTGTTGGAGTTGATGGGAATAATGGTATGTTTCCAATTGCTTATGCTATAGTGGAAATTGAAAATAAGAGTTCATGGATTTGGTTCCTTGAACTTTTGAAAGCTGATTTAAATATTGAGAATGGGGCAGCTTGGGTGTTTATAAGTGACAAGCAAAAAGGACTCATTCCTGCCATTCAGAGTGTTCTTCCAACAACTGAGCATAGAATGTGTTGGAGACATCTATATAACAACTTTAAAGCATCGCACCCGGGACTTGCATTGAAGAATACATTGTGGGCCTTAGCAACATCCAATACTATTCCATGGTTTGATGTAGAGATGGAAAAGATGAAACAACAGGATGAAAAAGCTTGGATTTGGATTCAGAAAAGGCCTCCACAAAATTGGAGTAGAGCTTATTTTGCATCGCACTTCAAGTGTGATATTTTGTTGAACAACCTATGTGAATCGTTTAACTCTCGCATTCTAGATGCAAGAGACAAGGCAATATTAACATGCCTTGAGAGAATTATGGTATATATCATGTTAAGGATGGCTAATAGAAGAATTGCAGCTAGGCATTGGAAGCATCCGGTTGGACCTAGGATCTTCAAAATCATTGAGAAGAACAAGTTAGGAGCTAGTCAATGCATTCCTATGATGGCTGGGGACAAGAAGTTCTTAGTACAACATATGTATGGGGCTGAGTTTGTTGTGGATCTGAAAGCAAAAACATGCTCTTGTAGAAGATGGGATTTGTGTGGGATCCCATGCCCCCATGCTATTTCTTGCATTTTTTCTACGGATGAAAATGTGTATGACTATACACATGATTGCTATAAGCAAGAGGCTTACTTGATTTCATATGATCCCATTGTTCACCCGGTTCCATCTATGGATCAGTGGAAGAAAACTGGTTTGCCTGCAATTCGCCCTCCTCCATACAAGAAGCAACCTGGAAGGCCAAAAATGTCAAGAACTAAAGAGGTAGGTGAGGTTCAAGCACCTGCTCCACCCCCTCCAAACCCCATCCCACCAGATTATATTCCACCTCCTGCAAAACTAAAAAGAATATTTGTAAAGGTAAAGTGTGGAATTTGTGGCCAACGAGGACATAATAGGTTAAGTCATAAAAAAAGAAGGGAAAATAGCTCTTCTAACATCCAAGAGGGAGCTCAGGTATATACAATACTTTGCTTCTTTAATTTCTTTTGCTTTGTGAAGCACTATTTCTAATATTTTTACTTTATTTGCTTTGTGTAGGGTTATAGTGATCACTTTCATCAAATCAATGGGCCAAACCCTTCTACAGGGATAGGGAAACCAAAAGGTTGTGGTGTAACAAAAGGAAAGGGCAAACAAGCAACACAAAAACCAGTAAGTGTGCTTCTAAAATGATTTGGGATGTATTGGTGACTATAGAAGGATTCGTAATGTATATGATGCATATGATGTCTAGGTTTCAACTGAGAAAGACAAAGAGATCTCATCATCAATTGCAAAAGGAAATGGAGCAAGGACATCATAATCACAACCACGTTTTTAAGAAGAAAAAACAACGGAAATCATGCTGGGGATAAAAATTGGGCATGACCAATGGGATCACTGATGTTGTTTTTGGAACTTCCTTTTTGTAGCATAAATCATATTTTATGTGGTTGTAGAATTTGTACGTATTTTGTGTAGTAAACTTTGTATTTTGGTAAGGCTGGTATTTTTATTTTGGTAATGTTGGTACTTTTGATGAAGTTGTTATGTTATCGATACTTTCGGTGATCTTTAGCTCACTTTGTTGTTTTAGTAGTAATCTATTATTATTATTATTATTAAACTTAGATAACTCTTGAGTTATGCCAAAAAATTGTATAAGATAAACAACTAGTTTATACATCACTAAAAGACGACTCCTTAAGGCAACACCACGTTGTTAACTCATATGATAAACAATTGGATTAAATAGGAAAATTGCATATCACAATTGGACTTTTTTTTTTTGGGGCAAAAGCATATCACAATAAGCTTTTTTTTTACGGGAAAATTAATCTAGAAAGGTATATAATTCACATATTGGGAATCTTAGAATTCACAACTTAAAAAGACCATTATACCCTTAAATTTAACAGAAAATATAACATATTTGACAGAAGGACCAATTGTGCAACACGGAGTTAAGTTGGAGGACACGAGAAACTAATATAAGAGTTCAGGGACGAAAACTAAACATGAGGTAAAGTTCAGGGACCTTTGCCACCACACACCCTACATTTATAAGTTCAATGGAGTATTACATTTATAAGTTCATGCACTGCGAATACGAAAATAGTCATACTCAATGATTGTTTTAAATAATGAAGAAAATAAACAAATACGGTTTTATAAAGCAATCTAAATTCTTCAGCCAAGTGTTATATAATTTCATATTTGAGTGATTTTTAATAGACATGATTTTTAAGAAGAAAAAAAAACCTATATTTAAGTCATTTTTAATAGACATGATGATCTTTAAGAAAATATCTGAAAAATAGACGACTGAGATCATCGAAATACTTTATTAAAAATATGTATGGCACCCCATATATATGCTGTCACATCCCGGCCCGGGTCGGACCACTTCCCGGGCCCGTTCCACCACCGTAGCACGATATTTTCCGCTTTGGACTTACCATTCCCTCACGATTTTGTTTTTGGGAACTCACGAGCAACTTCCCAGTGGGTCACCCATCTTGGGAGTGCTCTGGCCTCCTTCTCGCTTAACTTCAGAGTTCCTACGGAACCTGAAGCCAGTGAGCTCCCAAAATGCCTCGTGCTAGGTAGGAATGAGAATATACATTTAAGGATCAACCCCTGGGCGATGTGGGATGTTACAATCTACCCCCCATTAGGGGCCTGACCTCCTCGTCGGCACACTTCCGGCCAGGGATTGGCTCTGATACCATTTGTCACATCTTGGCCTGGGGCGGATCACTTCTTGGGCCCGTTCCACCACCGTAGCACGATATTGTCCGTTTTGGGCTTACCATTCATGTGGATTGTAACATCCCACATCGCCCAGGGGAGTGATTCTTAAATGTATATTCCCATCCCTACCTAGCATGAGGCCTTTTGGGAGTTCACTGGCTTCAGGTTCCATCGGAACTCCGAAGTTAAGCGAGTAGCGCACGAGAGTCTTCCCATGATGGGCGACCCACTAGGAAGTTCTCGTGTGAGTTCGCAGAAACAAAACCGTGAGGGCATGGTCGGGGCCCAAAACGAACAATATCGTGCTACGGTGGTGGAGCGGGCTCGAGAAGTGGTCCGTTCTGGGCCGGGATGTGAGAAATGGTATCAGAGCCCATCCCTGGGCGGAAGTGTGCCGACAAGGACGTCGGGCCCCTAAGGGGGGTGGATTGTAACATCTCACATCATCCAGGGGAGTGATCCTTAAATGTATATTATCATCCCTACCTAGCAGGAGGTCTTTTGGGAGTTCACTGGCTTCGGGTTCCATAGGAACTCCGAAGTTAAGCGAGTAGCGCACGAGAGCACTCCTATGATGGGTGACCTACTGGGAAATTCTCGTATGAGTTCCCAGAAACAAAATCGTGAGGGCATGGTCGATGTCCAAAGCGGACAATATCGTGCTACAGTGGTGGAGCGGACTCGGGAAGTGGTCCGTTCCGGGCAGGGATGTGAGATATGCACACTAGTGCAGGTAATTATAGTTAAAGTATGACTAGACAATTGTGCCCGTTGATTAATTTGGCTTAAATTCTTACATGTGTAAACAACAACAAAAAGGGATGTGATATCCACACACTCATTTTTAATTCTTACACATCCTTCTAATTTTTTATCATCAAATTGGATGAAATGAGAAGATTAATGGACAGAAATTAACAAGGGGTGTGTGAGAAGTAAAAAGAAGTGTGTGGATAGCACATCCCCAACAAAAATTAGGATGAAGATGAACAGGTACAATAAGACAAGTTTTATGCCTGCCATTGGTGTTTGGAAAGTGATCATCTCTGGATTCCTTCCTCCTAATCCACCAAACCAGAGGATCCGTGCAGTTTAAATTTGATCAAACGGTTGAAGTTATTATAATTTTTAAAGTGGGTCCTTGTTTGTAGCCGTTGGATCAGATTTTGAGCAACACAGATCCCCTGATTTGGTGGATTAGAAGGAAGAGATCCAGAGATAATCCTTTCCTTGGTGTTTATCTGTTGATTGAGTAATTTGCTACGACAAACTGTGGCTCTAATACTGTAGGAAGACTTGGGTGTCAATGTCGCCTGCATAGATTTTCGTACGAGTTTTACACTTACACAGGAATACACACACACACACATACATATACCAACCTGCATAACGATCATGTTTACAATAGGTAAATAAACTTGACAAAGAAATTCATTATTTATCATACGTGATAACTAATACGAGATCAATACGAACAAATTCTTGATAGAGTTCATCTACCTCTCTCGTACTATGACCTCCTCGTGAGTTAATTAATCTGCGCGTACGCACACAATTCAGAAATGTGATTGTTTATCTTATTGAATTGTAATTTGTAAATGTGGGGTGTTAAGCCGCCCACATTTTGTTAGTGGTGGATGATATCCGCAGAGGCCGTTGAAAGGCATATTGTGATGTTGAAGGAAGGAGGAAGCATGAAATGGACAGATCAAATGAATTCAGCCAATTTGATAAAGAATATAATAATAATAATATACGGTTCAAGTTTAAACATATAGTCTTTTTATAATAATTAATAATTAAATTAAGAATAAATAATGTGAGGGACAAAACAACTTAATTGTATCCGTTCATCATACATTGTGCAACCAATTTTCGTTAGATACTATTTATATTTAATTTTAAATTTTAAATTTTAAATAAATTTTAACCGCATAATATACTATAAACAGAAATGATTGATTGATCATCCAAATCTCAAGAAATGATCCTATTCCCTCTTCTTCCTACTTAATTGGTTTCTTCCCAAAAGTCGATTGCCACGTCGTCAGGTTGGCGGGAGACCGTGTGGTTGGAAATATGGATTCTGGAGTGGACAAAACTATCCTTTTCATTAGGTTCTTTTTTGAAAAAAATAATAATAAAATAAAATAAAGGTCACAGGTAAATCTCTTTTCTGAAAAAGAAAAAAAAAAGGAAAAAAGGTATGCACCAGCCGGGAATCGAACCCGGGTCTGTACCGTGGCAGGGTACTATTCTACCACTAGACCACTGGTGCCCTGATGATGGATTCGGTTTGCATGTTCATACTTATCCCTCAGCTACAAACTGGATCAGGTACCCCTCAAGGGATATAGTTGGTGGATTTATCATTTTAGGGCTGATTTGGTGGGATTAGATTGGATTGGATATCTCAAGACGTGCTGAAGGAAGAAATGAATGACTTTGTCCAACATGAGGGTAGAAGAATTACTTAATAAATTCTCACAAAAACGTAGGATTTTAGGAGCAAACAATCAAACAATCGGTAGGATTTGAAGAGTCTCCTTCATGTCTAACCATTTCAAATCCTCCTCAGAAATGAAAAATCATTCACCTCAACCTTATTATCCAATTGAATCGAGGCACCAAACGAGCCCTTACATGCTACAATTTTATTCATCTTGTGTCAATCACAGGGTTCCTAGATGGTAACCCTTGTAGCTGATTCATTTTTTTAGTACAAATATTCTAAGTTAATATAAAACCTAAATTTCGGAGAGTGTTCAAACTCGATTACTGAGAAGATAAAACACATTTTTCTAGGAAACTTGATTAAACTCAGACCTGCAACTATCACGACTTCACTTAAAACAAATGAACTTGACCAAAATAAACTTTCATCAATTCATAGTAACATTCTGACCGAAAAAAAACCTAACATAACCAAAAAATTTTCCTGGTTACATTTATATATCTCATCATGTGTATGCTAACCAGTTCTAGCCGAAATACCTGACAAAGGTTTCTCAGTAGTGTGTTTAGAACTAGAAACTTTGGGAGGGAATGACAAGCCGAGGGGCAAACTTTGCCCCGTATATACATCAGCCACCCAACCCAATGAAAGCGCACAAATGTGCGCATAGATATGAAACGAAAAAGAAAAGGATCATCAGCATGTACACACATATGTATTCTACATCGAAACTACCAACAACAGAGGTCCCCAAGGTTATCGAGGCTGAGAGGAACAAGTCTTGCCGGAAGCTCAGTCTAGTGTATTAGCACCTACCGTCATAAGCGTCTTCATTCTCCAATGCATAATAATCCTTCCTTCAACGGCACTTGAGGGTGGTGGAACATCAACAAGAGAACTTTAGCTTTTGAAGAAAAGCTATTGTGCAGGAGGACTACTTCAAATTACCAAATCCAACTACCTCTCCTCATCGGCTCCAAACAACTTTGCTTGATGATTCAATTCTGGCATGGGTGCCTCCTCCTTAACTGAAGGGATGAGGATCTAGAGTTGAGTTTCGCTTGCAAGTTGGAGAAACTGTTGTCATGAAAAGATTCCCAAAAAGGAATGTGAGG